TTTTTATGATCGACTGTAATTAATGGTTTCTCGGACTGAAAAAGTTTGTTTAAAGTTGAGAATTTTGGTAAAATCCATCCAAGAAAATGGTAATATAATTTTGTAGTAGGGTTATTAAGATGTTGAAGTATAGATTCTTCTATTTCAAAATTTAAAGCCGAAGAAGTTTTTGTTTTTCGTGAATTAGATCTTTTTCTTTCTATATCGTAAACAATATTATTAATATATAAAGTTAACGCGTCCCACTGCTCTAGAAGCCAGGTAATTACAGCCGTTACTGAAAGCCATCGAGTCTCCACTGGACACAAAATTTTATGATTTTTTAGCTCTAAAAACTGTTGATATTGTTTAAATTCATGCTGCCGCTTAGAACTTNTAAAAGAGATTGGTAAAAAATAAAAATATTTAAAAATCGTTCTGATCGATTAACGAGGATTGGGCACCGATGAATAAATAGATTGGTTTTTTTTTATCAAAAAACTTTATTTATGCGAGTACTATTTATTGTTTGCAAGAAAAAATTTTGTGTCTCTTGAAAACTTTGAAATTTTTGGCTCTTCCAACTCTAAAGTTTGCCAACATGTGGTGTATGGTATGAGAGAAACAATTGATGAACGTTAAAAGATTGCGAATACGCGTAGCGATATGAATATGAGTGTATATGTAGAGATATGAATATGAAGGAATATGAGGATTTGTGTGTAAGTAAAGAAAAGCAAGCGTGCATAGCGATCTCATTAAATGTTATCGCATATTTACACATTCCAGACGAGGATTTTTTTCGAAGGCGGTCCCCAGCAGGAAAATTTTTTTTTCTTTATATTGTTCATTCTGTATACTGAATAAAATCAAATATTTCTAATTATAAGACAAAATCGAGTTGTATTGTGTTTGTTAAATCGAATGTATTTTATTGTATATATTTTCTTTTTTTCATTTTTTCTCTTTTTTTTCATTTCGATTTAGAAATATAATAATCTTCTTTGTTTTACAACACCAGATAAATCAAATAAAATGTTAAAAGAGGTATAGTAAAATAAAAGATAATAATTGTATTGCAATTTATTATTTAAAGATGGTCTATAGTTGAACGAAAAAACACAATTTTTAAAATACGCAGATGGTATTGCTTTGTTAACGAGCAATGAAGAGTCATTAAAAACGAGTTGGCAATAGAAGTTTTTTTTTTTTTATTTATACGATTTAAGTTTCACTTTCTTTTTGGGTTTTTATTTAACTTTTCTTTGCACTTTTTTTGTTGAGAGATAAACGTTTCAATTTATCTTGGAATTAATTTCTTTCTAACGTTTGTCGATTCTAACACTTGATTATAAGACGTTATTTTATGTTATTTTGGTTCGTATAAACGTTAAAATTTTTTATTTGATTTCTTTTTTTAATTGTCAAAGCTATATTTATATAAATAACACGTATTAAAAACTTATTGTTAGTACAAATAGATTATCGTTTTATTGAAGGAAAATAAATGTTAATAAATGTTGGAATGTTAGAAAATGTATGTATAAGTGTTACTATGATTAAAGAACGAAATTCAATCGGCTTGTTTCTCTTCTAAGATTTCTAGAAAACCATAGTTTATTGTAACACATATCAACTTGCATGCTGTGGAGAGCGACTGGCGTCATCGATTTCGCCGATATCGAGAGATAGTTATAAACCTAAAAGTTGTGCAATATAGTTCAAATTTTTAGTCTGATCAAGATAAATATATAGGAGCCAAATAATATAGGAGCTAGCAACTTTTTCGAGAGAGAATTTAAGGGTTCATTCTGGTTCTTACGCCGAAAAAAAGCTATTTTTACGATTTTTTTTTAGGCTTTGTAGGATACATATACATATGAAAGTTGTTGGATATGATAAATACACTCTAGAAGTACGAGAAAAAATTTTTTGAAATGAAAACTTCTTTAGAATGGGAGTGATCTGAAAAGTAAAGAAATGGAGCTATGTAACGAAGCTATGAAAAGGCTGCTATACTTAATAATGGGAGAAAAAGAGACAAACATATAGGATTTAGCCTGCGAGAAAATGAGACAGAATATAGCTATACAGTTTTTCCTATTCTCAGTCTCCTCTTTATGCTATGCTTCGTAGTTATCGCTCCTGGTTGTATATGTGTGCGTTTGTGTGCGACTGCATACTACAAAGCATGGACACGTATTCTTTTGATACTCGAAATGATTGTAGGTAGGAGCGATAGAAGGTTAGAAGAATAGACAGAGTTAAGCACGTAGGTATGCGACAAAAGTATAAGGTCCAAACGAACCGACAGTCGAAATAAAGAAAGAAGGTGCGTGGTCTGTTTTTATTTTACCAAANATGAAAAGTGATTATAAATTGAATGAAATAATTTTTCACAATCAGACGGTATTGCGTCACAAGCTTCACTGGCACAAAGGTGAAGCGAATGACAAATACATGTCATGCTGTAAATGTTAGGACAACTATCTTTAAATCTTGTTCTTACTGAATTATGTTTACCCATCATCGCATTACAACCGTCTGACCCGAAACCAATAATTTTATCAAAGGATACAGAGAAACGTTGAAAAGATTCCCGGACACAATGGAAAAGATGTTCTGCTGTAGCAGATACTTCTCTAGAATCGTCATTGAAAATTCTACATAACTCCCAAAAATGACTAGCTATTCGTCCTAGAGATTCATCGTAATACCGTACGATAATACACAATGTTTGAGTGGGTGAGGATGAGAGGTTCGGCCAGTGATCTCAACCGTACGATAATTTCACGCCCCTGTGTCGATCAGACGAACTAAAGTCTCTGGGATCACTGGGTTCGGCAAAAGAGACGGCAGAGAGACTGTTGGAAAGAATTGGGGCAGGAGTGAAGGTGGAGGAGACGGTGGAGATAGGTAGAAGGAGGAAAAATGGGGGGAAGACGATTTTAAAAGAAAGACTAAGAAACGTGAAAGAAAAAAGGGCGGTGATGGAGAAGAAAAGCAGGCTCAAACGGGCCGCAAAATCAAACGGGCCTCAGAAGGGGTCTAAGGACAATGGACAACATATTTGTACTAAATTATCTGGTAGGGAGACAGGGTAGGAAAGAGATAGGGAAGCTGGTGGCGGCGTTTTTAGACCTGAAAGCGGCGTTTGACTCAGTGGACCGGAAGGTTCTGTTGCGAGAAATGGAGCAGAGAGGGATATGAGAAGAGGTCAGGAAAAGGGTGGGGGAAGTTTATCAGGAAACAGCAAGTAGGGTAGAAGCTGGAGGGGAGGAAGGGGTTAGATTTTGGACGGCAAAAGGGTTCAAGCAGAGGTGCTCAATGAGTCCGATACTCTTCAACTTATTGACAGCAGATTTAGAGTAGGAATTGATGAAGGGAAGATGGAATGGTGTAAGGGTAAGAGAGAAGAGGATAGGCTTATTAGCCTACGCGGATGATGGGGTTTTGTTAGCGGAAAGAGAAGAAGAAATAGAAAGCATGCTGAGGAGGATGGAAGAGTATTGTGATAGGAAAAAGTTACCGATGAATTTGGAGAAAGCAAAGATACTAAGATTTAGGAGAGGAGGGAGAAGAAATAAAGAGATAGACTGGAATTGGTAAGGGAATAGGATAGAAACGATGTAGGAGTTCAAGTATTTAGGTTATCTATTCAGAAGAATGGAGAACAGGAAGCACACTTGAGGGATAGGGTAAAGAAAGAAGAAGCAGTAATGAGGCAAATATGCAGATTAGGTAGAAGAATATTCAGCAAGAATTAGGGGAGGAAGATGTGGCTTTTCGACACGCTGGTGTGGACGGTGTTAAGTTACGGAGCGGAGATATGGGAGTGGGAGAAGAGGAAAGAGATCGAGAGGGTACAGGAAAGGTACATGAGATGGACACTAGGAGTAGATTGGAGGACACCAGAGTACATGATAAGAGAAGAAGGAAAAAGAGATAAACTGGAAACAAGAGCAGCGAAGAGAGCTTGGAAGTATAAGGAGAAGATAAGGAGAGGAGAAGGAAGTGAGCTAGCGAGAGAATGCTGGAAGGAGGCGCGGGAGAGAGAAAAGGAGGAAAAAGTAAATATTTCAAAATAAGGAGAAGGGAGGAAAAGGTTTAGAGAGAGGATAGTGCCGGACAGGGAGGAGGTAGTTGAGAGTTAGGAAAAGATTGAGAAGGAGGAAAGAAGACGGCAGGAGAACGAAAGGTGGGAGAAGGTACAAAGCTCCAGATATAATAAATGGTATAGGCTAGTGATAGCGGAGGGGTTATCGAAATATTTGGAAAGCAAGTAGAGTGAAGAGAGAAAGAGAAGAGTGGCGAGATTCAGATTAGGGAAAGGGATGAGAAAAGGGAGATACTGGAAGGAGGAGGAGAGGAGACGATGCAGGGTGTGCGGGTGTAAGAAAGAGACGTGGGATCATTCGTTGGAAGGTTGCATCAGAACGATTGGTGAGGAGGACGGGAGAGGAATAGAAGAAAAGATAAAAGAGATTTTGGATGAGAGTGGAATAGGGGAAGAATGGATGGAGAGGGTGTAGAGTAGAGCGGGGGGGGGAAGGAGGAAAGGAGAAGCGAAGGAGAGAGTAGTGTTAGGATAGGTTAAGGATATAATTGCTAAAGGAGTGGAACCCTTCGAGGAATCAGTAAAAATGTATCTATATCTATATATCTCTATTGTTATTTAAGAACTTTGTAAACAATTTGCTAATAGTTCATGCGATTTAATACTTTGCCGGCCGCTGTCACGTATGAGTGACTTATTTTTCTTCAGCGTTAGTCTCGCAGGCGGCAACGCTACAGCGACTCGAGAAATGTGCGGACGGCAAAGTGGTAAACTATAAACTCAAATAAACTATACTGAAATATGAGATAAATAAAATGTAAAATGAAAAATTTTATGTTGTCTTGTAATTAATTTCAACTCCTAGAAATTCTAAGTGAATATTAATTTAACTGCATTGATTAGTTTAATATTATATTAAATAAACGTGTTATAAAACAAAGCCACAGTACCACGTAGCTAGGGCATGGGGGCCAGGGCTCGTAGGCCATTGCAGGTACATACTTAGTTATCTGCACATTAGTATATGCAGAACGTAAACATATTATTATACGTCACTTTTAAAAATATAAATTTATTTATTATCCTAAAATTATACCTTAATTCTTGGTATTTGTCGTCGTCTTCGAGATTATTTGTTACTCTTGTAGTATATTGTTAGTTCTTTTAATTTTATTATGTTTTAAGTTTGACTTCCTGTTTTTTTTTATATTTTTATTTTTCTGGAACGTTTTATGACTACTTTTTATTAATAGAATTTACTCATTGATACTACGTTTTCTTAGATACAAAAGATATACTAAATTTATATATTTACATATTTAAAAATTAATTATTGAATAGGATTAAATTATATATTTCATTTTCTATTTTTATTTACAGTCCAAACTCATAGAACATCATGGTTATATACCTGAGACTCATAATATTTGGACGGAGGATCATTATTGTCTAACAGTACATAGAATCATAGGACCCAAAACATATAATATCACATCAAGCATAGAACAACCTGCGAAAACCGTTATTGATTGCATAGAAAAATCCATTTTATTGAATTTCGATACATCGACGTTTACAAGAAAGCCCGAAAATAATTCTTTATTCAGACCGCCTGTTTTACTAGTTCATGGAATATTTTGCAGTTCGGTAGATTGGCTTTTGCTTGGACCACAGAAGGCTCTTGGTATGAGATTTAGAAAAATAATCTATAATAAGTATCCATAAATGAATTCATTAAAAAAATCGATCAAAAATAAAATTGATTCTTTTATTTATATTTATATGGTGTTTATCAGCATATACTTTGTGTCAAGCTGGTTACGATGTTTGGTTAGCAAATGTTCGTGGTAACGAATATTCCAAAAAGCATCAAATTTATACAACGAAGGATAAAGAGTTCTGGGACTTTAGGTAATATTCCAGATATATTACTTTTAATTATTCATTTTAATTATATATTTAATTTACTTTAACTTCCTAACGTAGAAGTACAATGACTGTACAACTAACCGGACATATAATAATATAATAATAATCATTAAAGTACAGTTTTCACGAGATAGGATATTACGATTTACCAGCAATAATAGATTATGTCTTGGAACAAACTGCTTATTCGGAACTGTCTTATATTGGCTACAGTCAAGGGACTACTTCGTTTTACGTAATGGGAAGCGAAAGGCCGGAATACAATGCAAAAGTTAAAGTAATGGTCAGCTTAGCGCCCGTGGCTTTTTTATATAACCAACAAAGCAATTTTATCACTTTTTTAATGAAGTACTTACATTTAAGTACTTTAGCAGAGGTAGCAATACGTTTATTATTTGTTCTTTTATTCTTTACGCTTGCTTTTTTTAATAATTTTATAATTAATTTTTAAAAATATTTTTCAGTGGAGCTCATTTTATTTTAAAATAAATCAGGTATTTCCTTATAGTGAGTTTCGAGCTTGTGCAATTAATGTAATTATTCGTAATGTTCCTTCGGAATTGACAAAAAGAGCTTGCAAAATTTGCTTCCACTTAATTGCTGGATTTGGTAGTAATCAACTGGAAAATGATATGTTTCCTAGAATTTTTGGACACTTTCCAGCTGGTTGTTCATTCAAACAGATATTTCATTATGGTCAATCCATTTTAAAAGGTATAGTAAAGTAACAAGTAATTAACAAATAATTTCGCTAATTTTTAATTAAATTTAATATTAATTATATTTCTTTTCTTTAAGGATCATTTAGCAAATTTGATTATGGGCTTCGTAAAAATTTGAAGAAATATGGTTGTGCTCAACTAAATGAATATAATTTAAAAAATGTTACAGTTCCAGTGGCGATTTTTTATGCAGAAAATGATTCTTTAACAAATGTATTGATAAATAACTCGCTATTTTATTTATTTATTTTAAATTTTTGCATTGTCACGATTATTTATTAACATTTGTCTTACAGGATGTGCAAAAACTTATAGACGATTTACCAAATGTAATTGAAACGAAAAAAATCGAGTATTCAAAATTTAATCATGTTGATTTTATATGGGGGAAAGATTCCAAAAAACTTGTTTTTGAAAACGTTTTGGCAGTACTAAACCGATATTAAAATCACTTACAAATATTGACATTGGATTTTCAAAAAAATAATTATTACCCAGTAAACAAAAGACCTTAAAATGATGTCATACGTATTTCATAAAGTGATCTTCAAGTTTTTTTCAATTAAATAAAAAAAATAGGAAACTAACTCAGCTTACTCTGGACTGGTGGTGATAATCGCAGATTTAGACAAAGTATTTTTCTAGAAAATAAAAAGAAAATGAAAAATGGCGAACTTCGAGAAAATAACGGTTTTTTTTTTTACTAATCAAATTTTGCAAACGGGTAAGTTAGAGTTCAACTAGCGATTTTGATTCGATATTTTGAGAAGCTTGAAGTAAAAAGAACCACCACTGTACGATCTGGGTACGATCTATGTACGATCTTGTCTTTCTCCCTGCCATACGCCGTATTTACGATATTTACAATAGGTTTTTTGAACATGAAGACTAAAAAAAAAAAAGGTTATCAACTTTTTTTTCAAATTTTCTATATGATTTTTATGATTTGATGGTCGTTCGGTGGACTTATCGAACCACCGACTAGACAAAGCCAACTGTTACCGTTTGTTTGAACTTGGGCAATTTTTTCAGATTTTGAAAATCTAATCCGAAAAATGGAACAAATTCAAAATTTTTCCTGTTTGTACGATATTTTACGCCCCTGTGTCGATCAGACGAACTAAAGTCTCTGGGATTACTGTGCCGGCTTCTCGGGCAGCCATCTTTCATTGTTCTCTTTGCCTTCGCTTACAACACACGCGTTTTCTCGATATAATAAAAAGGTCCTCTCGTACGGAAAAAGTGTAGATGTGATTAAGGGTTCATTCTGGTTTATAATTTTGAAAAAATTAATTTTTTTTTTTTTTGCATTTTTCGAAAGTAGACATATGTAGAATTATCATACAAAAATTTTAGAACGATCCGAACAGTCTAAGTATATTATTTTGCGACTCAAACACAGAGATATTACAGAGAGAGGAGACAAACCATAAACGGTTGTTTAAGTGGAAATGTCTCTGCATATTATTCAGAGTGGT